TGCCTCCGCCCTAGTGCCTCCGCCCTAGTGCCTCCGCCCTAGTGCCTCCGCCCTAGTGCCTCCGCCCTAGTGCCTCCGCCCTAGTGCCTCCGCCCTAGTGCCTCCGCCCTAGTGCCTCCGCCCTAGTGCCTCCGCCCTAGTGCCTCCGCCCTAGTGCCTCCGCCCTAGTGCCTCCGCCCTAGTGCCTCCGCCCTAGTGCCTCCGCCCTAGTGCCTCCGCCCTAGTGCCTCCGCCCTAGTGCCTCCGCCCTAGTGCCTCCGCCCTAGTGCCTCCGCCCTAGTGCCTCCGCCCTAGTGCCTCCGCCCTAGTGCCTCCGCCCTAGTGCCTCCGCCCTAGTGCCTCCGCCCTAGTGCCTCCGCCCTAGTGCCTCCGCCCTAGTGCCTCCGCCCTAGTGCCTCCGCCCTAGTGCCTCCGCCCTAGTGCCTCCGCCCTAGTGCCTCCGCCCTAGTGCCTCCGCCCTAGTGCCTCCGCCCTAGTGCCTCCGCCCTAGTGCCTCCGCCCTAGTGCCTCCGCCCTAGTGCCTCCGCCCTAGTGCCTCCGCCCTAGTGCCTCCGCCCTAGTGCCTCCGCCCTAGTGCCTCCGCCCTAGTGCCTCCGCCCTATTGCCTCCGCCCTAGTGCCTCCGCCCGTCTCTCCCTTGAAAGTGCTTTTAAGGGTCATTCTTACCCCATTTTCCTGTCCTTCTCGTTCACAATCACCATTCACCCCATTCGGTTTCCTTCTCATCTTAACTATGATCCCTGCTGTATTTACTTTTGTAATACTTTTAGGGTACTTTTAAATATACGAATAATAAAAGATAAAGCGTACTTCGAAAATTATTAAGTTAATTAAGTAACTCATACAGAGTGTTTCTTCTAAGCACTAACCACAAAACCCTTAGTTAAAATGCTTTAGTCCTTGAAGTTCCAACTACATACTTCTTAAAATTCAATTACAATCAAATCGCTAAATGCTATTAAAGTGCTTCAAGCACTTTGGAAGAGCTGAAGTACTTTGGGTTACAAATTGCACAGTACTTTTATAAACTAATTCGTTCACCAAGCTCCAACAACTCGTTCATAGATGGAGTTTAATTACGGCGATTCGAAGCCCTGAAAAGCCTGAAGGCACATTTTTAGGCACCAATTACTAAGTTCTGCCCCGTTCTGTTTCCTGTTTTAGGGACAGAAAAATTCTTATTCTTTAAACTCTTGACACCAAAAATTGTTGTTGTCCTGTGTAATTTTTGACACCCCTCGTATAAATTATATTTTTAACTCCATTCTTGTACGTAAACATCAGACTGTTTCTTCAAGTCTCGCTCAGGCAGAGAAGTTGTTACTTTTGGCCAGGATTCTGTTGAAATTTTGCTGCAGTTTCTTTGATGTCGCTGTTATTTTTATTAGGAAATTGACTTTATTTGCTTATTACGTACGACTTTCCTTTACTGAATATTATAAAGATCCTCTTCTAAACTCTATCCATCTCCCCTCTTACGATTTTTAATCGTTTCATTTTCGAAATTAATGTAGATTAACTTAACTTAGTAGTTACTTTAGTGTTTTACGTGATCGACTTGCTGTGTAGTCGGAATAGAGAATTTGGTGTTTTACTATTTTTGAAAAATGTGTTCGATTTGGTTCGATAAGGTGTGCCGGTTGGGTCATCTCCATCTGGGTGAAAGAGTAAGGAGTAAGGAGTTTTGTAAAATTAAAAAAAAAAAAAGAGAGATAGACAAAACGGACGGAATCAAATAAAAATGTGCGACAGTTGAATTAAAACTCTTGAAACAGACAATTGAAGTAGTAGTACAGCAACTGATAATGACCTATCGGTCGAAACAGTTGCGAGAGTTTTTAATAAACAGTTTGATCGTCGTTTTTTTTATTTGATTCTATTTAGTATGATTCATCAAGCCTTTCTTTCTTATATTACAAAGACGTAGTGAGCTTTTGGTAAATTTTATATTAATAGGTTTAATACTAAACTAATTGTTGCATGTCGAAGATAGAGGTAGTACTATCGTACTAACAAAAGACACATATATAAATGTGAAAATTCATTTAATTCTACAAATTACCTCAAATTAATAAGGAAAAATCATTGCTGCTGTACACCCTAGCCGGGAATCGAACCCAGGACCTTTGACTTTTCGCACCATTAGTGTGACCATTAAGCTACGAGAGGTGACAGCGGTAACAATGACGAAACGTACTTATTAGGTCACAGATTCCTTGAACTGAAGTATATATACAGTGTGGACCAAAAAGTACCTACGCAATATGCTCATTGCAGACAAACTGTAAGTTTAATCGAAAAATTTTTCAAACAAAACTTGCTCCCTATTTTAATACAAGATCGTTTGTATTATTTGAATTTGATTTACTATCGCGGGGATGTTTAAAAGATTTTTTTTGAGTCAAATAGTAAACAAAGTTCGCAATATGCTTATTGTGGCTAAACTGAAAGTTTAATCAAAAAATTTATCAAACATTTACTACAAGGTCATTTGTATTATCCAGATTTGATTTCCTATAGGGAGTGTTCAAAAATATAAAAAATATGTTTTTTTTTAAATGGCAGCTATGTGAAATATCAGTCCAATAGCAGCAATATTTGTTGAGAAAGTCAAATTTTTAATGAAATTCCACCCAAGGCCAAAATACGTTCAGGTAGGTGCCTGTATGAGACTTTGGAGTTATACCAAAGGAAATGTAATGCGGAGGTACATAGAAGAAAATGGTCATATATGGAATACCATTTTGTTATTTGTATCTGTAAATTCCTTTTTTTATAAAAATGGTTTGGAAAATTATTAAAATCATTTATTAAGGATAACCTGGAAAGAAAAAATTTTTGGGATTGTAAAAATTTTGTTTTGTTAGAGAAGTGAGGTTAAAATGGAATACCTCATTTAATAAATAAAATATCTATAGATGTATGTGTATTATTGAATTTCAATCAAAAAAATTTCCTATTTTTTGTGCAATTTTGTGTAATTTCTTTAACAGTATAGCTTCCGAAGCTCTTCAAATAGAAACATTTTTAAAAATACGAAATATTCGTAGGGTTCAATAAATTTATGAGCTGATGAAATTTACGTGGACGTTAAAAGATTCGATGATAGGTACAACTGTTAATTTTTAAAGCAATTTGTTCTACATTGTGACATTGTGGAATAAGATTACCACGTGGAGCTTTTTACACTACATACATAATTTTCCCATTAGTTAATTGGTTCTTGGACATATGTACAATATGCATGTTATTCGGCTTAAAGTAATTAACAGTGGTTTAAATTTCTGTCTTAATTTCATTTACTAGTTAGCTAAAAGAAAAAGTGGGATTCCACTATTGCTACAAAAAATCTGTGAAATTATCCTAAAAGGATAACGATCTCATCATCTGAAACAAAAAAAAAATAAAATAAGATGTACGACAGTTATCAGGAAAAGTAAATTGTGTTTCTGTAGTATTACAAGAAAATTATGTCTAAATTATGAAATAATATCAAACAAAAATTACCTACTGGTTTGGTTCTCACAGAACAAATTACAGTAAAAGTTCTTCATTCGCGGGGTATATATATTCCATAAATATGCCGTGAATACAGAAACCGTGGATATAGAATGGTGATTAGTATCGAATCATAGGGGATACGTTCTAAAGTTCCAAAATAAAACCAATATATATCAGAATAAAATCAATTTATTGCGTAGCGGCGTAGAATAAAAACATGCCTATTGGTTCTAGATATCATGAGTTTAATATTTGGAACAGTGTTTTAAAATTTTGTAGTGAGATAGATAAAGCTTTCTTTTAAAGCCTATCTAAGGCCATTTTTTAATTTTTCGATTTCTGTTGAAAATACGGGTCTTACAAAAAGCACTAACTTTAAACACTTGTAAAAGCTTTTAAAGACCATATTATTGAAAACCAAAAACGTACCGAGTTAGTGAGAACCTTTGTCTGTTACCATACAAAAAATCAGATATTTATCTCGCAGCGTTATATCACAATGTTTAGAATAGAAACCCATGTTTTCGGAAAAATTTACACCAGGCACCAGCGGTCCATTGCGGTCAATCCCCTTAATAAATCCTATTCTGTTTACCGATTGCATCCGCGAATAATGAAATATTTAGCCGCGAATACGGGAACTGGGTTGCAATTTTTTCACCCGCGAATCATGAAAACGCGAATAAGGAACATTTACAGTATAAGTAAAATAACGGTGAGCCCGTTCAAATTTGGACTGTAGTGCTAGTTGTACTTAGCACTTGCATTTTAATTTCGGCCACATTTCTATGATGTATGTATAGGCAACCCACACACACATATTTAGACCGGTCCACTTTTTTGTAATTGTTGTTCTCCAATTGGATTTAGCAACTGATTTTTAATCAGGAGTTTTTAAAAGTACGAGGGTAAAAGACTTTAGAAATCAGAAAATTTATTGGGAAAAAAAACTCGTACAGGATTGTATTTAAAAGCAATCTTTTCACAAGCGCCTTGTACAGTATAAACCCTTATTTAATTTAAGTTAGCTTACGTATTCTCCCTCCTACAAAATATCGATATAGAAGGTCATTATTCCAAATAATAATTTAGTGTCTAATAGACTTCTAATAGGGTTGTTATATGGTTGGTTTTGTTTACATAATATTACAAAAGTGTACATATATATATATATTTTTGAGATCATTAGTGATTAAGAGTTTAATTACTACTGAACATTAGAAATGAGGTGAGCGATCATGATAGTACTTGTGCGGAGCAAGACAGTACATTACAATTTAATAAGAAATTTTTAATTTTTCGGTTAATTTTAGTCTTGTATTATTGACTTTGTCAGTATGATCGAATTAGGAATTGAAGGGCTAGTAAGTACAATTTATTTTAAAATATTGTCCTCTTATCTAATGAGAGTAGTTATAAAAACCAGAAATCAGAGACTATTGTTCATCGATATATTGTAGGGTAGTAATTTCAGAATAATTGACTGCACATTTGTTGTAGGTAACGGAGGTTTATCAGCAAATGAAGGATAATCAGAGCCTGTATACGCCGACGCCTCCCAGATCTTTAAGCAGTGGCTCCAGTTTGACTTCCTTGAGCCTGGATATCTCTCCAAGTTCTAGTAATTTTTTCGAGGTAAGATAAAAGCCGAAAAGAGAAAAGTGACTCATTAGGAGTGTCTATTTTTTACACTTTGTGTTTTGAATCGATTCATAAAAATTGTACGGTAATATCGCGATTTTAAATTCCTAAATTAATTCCGTTGTTGACATTAAATATAATATCTCGTAATATTTCTATGTTTTAGTCATATCGATATTCTCTTTTGTAACACCTCGTCATAGAATTATTTGGATCAAAAGCCGTTGCGAGGATAAGTAAAGGATGTAATTGATGATAATAATAATAATAATAATGTAATATTCCCTGAAATTTTCAGGCACATTTTCTTAATAGTTTTCAAGGGATTCTTTTAAATATCAATTAGCTCGGTTAAAAATAATTTACGTAAAAATATTTTTTGGGGCATCGTGACATTCCCTGAAACTCGCGTAGTGTTGCATCAAAAAATTCCAGTTCTAACTATAGTCGAGGAAATAACATTATTGAAAACGAAAACATGTGTTTTTTACCTACTACTTTTAAAATTGAGGATGAGACTTGTACAGTCTTGAACGGAGTTTCATGTCCGGACATACCAACTTGGATCCAGCGGGTCAAAAAAGCATCAAAAAGCCCTAGTAGTCGACTAAATAATTTTGTGTAGTAAGTCGGACCGAAATGCGGTTTTCTACAAACTTTGTGTACATAAGAGAGCAATTCATGTTCAAAAATGCATAAGTACAATTTCCTCTTAGGTTCTTTACATTGGAAAAATCAAAGTTTGGAATCGGAAAGTCCCTGATTCATTCATAGATGATGCTCTTCAGAAATTTGAAGCTCACGATCTAGAAAAGAAAGCCAATGTCCGCGCTCCAATTGAACGTCTCCAGAGTGAACAAGATTTGTATAGGAGGTTAGCAAATGTAAGTTATTAATCATAAATATTCCGCTATTATGCTTTGGTTAGTGGATGTCATCATCTTGTCATTTTCATCCTGTTCATAAATAGTATTCTTTGGTGGAGTCCCTTTGGGATTACATTTTGTACCTAGCAAATAAAATACTCATCATACTATTACTCAAGTGAAGGAAAATTTTTTGTTATTCCCTCAGGGCCCTCGAGCAGAAAGGCAATCGTCTCCCGAGTCTCCACCTGTACCATCTCTAACAAGATCACTCTCAGTGGCGTCTAGTCTTATTCCGAAACAAATCGAAAACCAATACCGTAAAGAGATATTGTCTACCAACGAGAGTGACATAAGTGATAATTTCTCGAAAATCTCGATCCCTGAAGATGGTTCCGAAGACACAAAGAGCTCTAAAAGCGAATTATCGGAGACCTCATCGTTTACTGAAAGTAGCAAAGCGGGAGGAGATACTACCAGTACAAGTGATTATAAAGAAGGAAGTGATTCTTCGTCGGTCACCAGCAGGGATGAAAAGAAAGAAATGACCAGAACTGTTGTCGATATGGACGACCACAACAGAACGATGGTTTTGCAAGTGGGGCGAATAGACTTGAGACTTATTAGCCCAGACAGAAAACTTATCTTATTGCACAAGCAGACTAGGGACATTGCTACGTGTGTACAAGTGAGTAAATATAAACAGTCATTGAATTCAAAAAACAACCATATTTTTTTCATCAAGGGACGTGAAAATTCCTCCCATTTCGGGTTCATCTCCAGAGAAACACCCACATCCAATATCTTCATAGGATACGTATTTAAATGTGAGTCTGCATCAATAGCCAGTGAAGCAGTTGGAGGTAAGACTGATACCTTAATTTTGAGATGCCTTATTTATTATATTAATTGATGAATACTCTTAGCAATAACTCAGGCATTTACTAATGCTGAATCAAAATTTGCTCGACCTATCATTACCTCATGTGAGCAGTGTCCAATGGTCTGGTTTCATAAACTGTGCGTCGAAGTGGAGAATTTAAGCGACAGAAAAACTCAAGCAGCGATTTTGAGAAGGCGAGTNACCGACGACCTTATGTTGATGATGATGATGATGATTTTTTTTTTGAAATGTACGTTTTATTACATATCCTAATGCAGTACACATATATGTAAAAATACAGGTGCGTATTTTAATGAATCTTAAAAGATTTTAATACAGATATTACATTTTGAGTCTGTTTTAATATTGAAAGTAGGGAGGGGGACAAATCCTCTTAACCCCCTCTCTTATATCCGGCAGTGCCTTTGAATTGGATATATTAATAAATTTACTGGCTAAAATAAAAAATTTGATGGCGTCCATGATTTTAAGTGCCATAGGTACAATGAATTTAAGAAGCCAAAAATCAATTATTTTCTATAATTTTGCTGGATATTATTTTAATTGACATGGACTATGAAAAGTCAAAATAAGGTAGTACGTGTATTTAGAAAGTTTTTTTTTTCATTCTCATGACCTTAGCCTTAATAAATCGAGATTACTTTTCAGAAATAAATTGATTGTGTTAATTGCCAACGGAGAACATTTATTATTCCTGTGAAACGTACATGTTTTCGCGAAAACGCCATAACCTATTTCTCTGAAATTTATTTATTTTACGAATACGATAAACAAAAAAAGACATAAAAACGTGACGCATTAAAATGTGACGCAGTATTAAGAGAAGGTTAAGGTAGATCAACAAGTTATTCATTGCTCCTACCAAACGCATTAAAATTTAGTAATTTCATTTAATATTTTTTGAAATCTGTTTTGAAACAAGAATTCATTTATCAAATACTAGCTGCGCCCGCAACATTATTCGCATGGATTTTAGGGTTGTATTCCCGGAAGTTCCGTCAAACTTCATTATCGCAATAAAAATAGAAGTTCCATGATTATCACAACCTTTATTCAAAAGTAGAAAGTGGTGAGTACTCCAAGTCTGATGAAGCCAATGTTCGTTGAAACAAGTTTTACTTTTCAATAAAGTTCCTGAAAATCTTGTTTTTATGGTGAATAATTGTCATTAAAAAATTTATTAGGGAATGTCTACGTTTCAATCGGAGTCTATATCAAATCAGAACATTAGCATTACTTTTGATAGCATAACTCAACTACCGGGCAATATGACATAGCGTTTAGACCATTTCTTAGCATTCGAGAGGATACTTGTTCCGAGTCCGTCTGCCTGAAGTATTTCTGTGGTTTACTGGAATCCCATGAGCAGATGTTAGGGCAGTAATATTCCACTGATTACATTTAAAAAAAAAACTTTTGGGTGTTTCAATCCCACCAGCCAGTAATGCTGGTGGGCGGGCAGTCCCTACGGATTACGCCGGAAGGTAGGGCGGAAGGCCCTCTTCAGCCTGCTTTCAGGAATCGTGGGAATGGGTGGGTGGTGGTTCGGGTGAGAAAGATGAGACGGACGAAATGAAGACAGAAGAGANTCAGCATGTCCAAAGTTTCAGGATGTTTGTCATATGTCCAAAGTTTGAGGATTTCATTCCTAATAGGCTATTTTTAAGATTTCTTCTTTCCGAATAATTACGAAATATTCTAAAACACATCATTCTACATCTGGTATAGCGTCCTTCAGTGTTTGGCATGTTGAAAGTTTCAGGATTTCTTCTTTCCAAACCGACCATGAGGAGTATACAGAAATTCTGAAGAGATATTTCTACATCTGGTACAGCGTCCTTCATTGTTTGATATGTCCAAAGTTTCAGGAGTGAGCAGTGTCCAATGGTCTGGTTTCATAAATTGTGCGTCGAAGTGGAGAATTTAAGTGACAGAAAAACTCAAGCAGCGATTTTGAGAAGGCGAGTATTGTACAATAAACGTTGTTCTCTTCATTACTTATCTATTATTTTGGGTTTACAGAATAGACCAATTAGACGAAGAAGAACAGAGCATGATATTAGCAAAATTTAGAGGAGCTGAAACAGATTCAGTTCGTGAACAGAATGAGTTCCTCATGATGTTGCTGAGAGCACATTGTGAAATGAAGCAGGGTCGTCACGTCCACGATACAGCTGAAAACAGGTCAGATAATATTTTTCCTTTTCAACGGTTTTTTATTTACAAATTTTATTATAATTACCAGGTCTGAATTTTTGAATCAGTATCTGGGAGGCAGTACGATCTTCATGAAAGCCAAAAGGTCCTTGACAAATTCGTTTGATAACTTGTTAAAGAGGAGGTCGTCCAGGGATGACGTGGGGGCAACATTCAATAGAGATATGACATTGCCAATCCATTCAAGTTTAAAGGTGAGTAGAAAAATGGTCTTTTTCAGGTTGCTTTATTTTGCAAAAAAAATTTTTTGCTTTTTTTAAAGGAAGGAATGTCGCCTGCATCCGCTAATTTTCAAGAGACGTCCGATCGTGAATCTGAAGGCTCACACTCTCCTTCCACTCTAGGTTCTCAAAGCGATCTTAGGGATCCTAAAAATGGAAACCCTGAGCCACAAACCCAAAGCAATGTGTCACCTGAAAGAACAGGAACTGCAACAGACAAGGGACTCAAATCTCCCATGATGGACATGTAAGTAAAAGAAGTTTTGTTTCTACTTCTGTTCATCATTTTTTTTTTATTGTAGATTTATGAAAGTTGGAAGTAGTCCTAAATCCGTACCCTACGATGAAGGATCTCCAAAGTACGATGCAGGCTCTTGGAGACAAGCTATTTTTAAAAGGGTAATAACTCCAAATAAACAGCAAGCAAGAGATAGTGGACAAAAGAGGAGTAATGAAGAACTGAGGATGCTTTGGAAGAAGGGCATCCAACAAGCCATCTTGTTAGTCCGGATGGAAAAGGAAAATGCGAGGATAAAGGGTAAGAAAGTCAGGATTTCTTTCTTCGTGTGCAATAGAATTGCTCAAAATATTGTTTTCTAGCTCAACAGGAAGAGAACGCAGTTAAACGCATAAAACTGGAGTATGATGACATGAAACTGAATCAGAGAGAAGTTATGGAAGTGTGGGATCAAATGATCGACAAGGATATTCGGGTGACTAGGGATAACAATCTGCTGCTTCATGCAGTAAGACAAGGTTAGTTATAACAATTTGACCGTTTTCGACTGTTTCACTACGACAATATTTTTAATTGTCAGGTATTCCAAGAGCGAAAAGAGGAGAAGTCTGGCAATTTTTGGCAGAAGAATCCTGCAAGCGCACAGCTCCCGTTGACACTAGCAAATTCCCAAATTACAACGTGCCTTATGAAACATTATTAAAGCAACTCACCTCTCATCAACACGCCATACTTATTGACTTAGGTGAGTCACAATTTCATTAAATTCCTTGGTCCCGATCCCAACTAGGATCATTACTGTTGTTGCAGGAAGGACTTTTCCTAATCACTCTTACTACAGTAGTCCCCTTGGACAAGGCCAACTGGCACTATTCAACTTGTTGAAAGCATACTCGCTTCTAGACCCAGAAGTGGGATATTGTCAAGGACTCAGTTTTGTCGGAGGTGTTCTACTTCTTCATGTAAATAACAAATGTTAAGCAATAATTTTCGTTTCTAGTATTCATATGACCGTTACGTTTCTAGATGGAGGAAGCTCAAGCCTTCTCTTTGCTTCGACATTTGATGTTTCGAAGAAATCTTCGCAAACAATACTTGCCAGATATGGTGGCCTTGCAGATCAAACTTTATCAGATTTCTAGGTTACTCCACGATCAAATTCCTGAGCTTTATGATCATTTCGACCTGCATGAGGTTGCCCCCACATTGTATGCAGCTCCTTGGCTACTCACCATCTTCGCCTCTCAATTTCCCTTAGGATTTGTGACAAGAGTGTTTGGTGAGTTTGAAAAATTTTGTTCCAATTTTCTTTGTTACCAATTCCTGAATTATTCATGCAGACATTCTGTTTTTGGAAAACACTGATATTATCTTCAAAGTGGCGATCGCTCTCCTCTCCCTTCATAAGGATAATCTTCTCAAATGTGATAGTTTCGAAGAGATTATGGACTACCTCAAGAATAAAGTTACCAATATGGACAAATTTATGTTGGATAAGGTTATCAAGAAGGTGGCTACGTTGGACATAAAGAAACAGCTAAACGAATACAAAGTGGAATATCATGTCCTGCAGGAAGAAATGGCCGCTGTTCAACCCCAACTTGAAGCATTACATAAATTGCAAAAGGAAAACAAAATTCTCACTGACCTTAATAAGTCATTGACGTCTCAAGTTGACCTTCACATGTCCAACGTACACAGGCTCGAAAAGTCGCGAACTATCCTTCAATCGAATTGCAATAAATTAGAAATGACAAATAGAGGCCTGGAAGTCACTGTGGTGACCTTGGTATCGTTCGTTAACAGCCTGATAGAGAACAAAGTGGACGTGGAAATTCCTGACGATGTCCGAAGGATTTTGACACAAGTTTCTTTTAATGAGAAGAACAAAAAAGACCAAGCTCACAGATCGAACGTGATGAGGATGTTTGGCAAAGATAATCATCCAAATGCGCAAATGGTAAAGATTTTTATTCAATTATAGCTGTTAATAGGTATTATTATTTTGTAATATTTCCACTATTTTAATGATAAGCATTTAAGGATGACTGTAGTCGAAGTTGACGGAGGGACATCAACAAATGCCACGTCCCACGAAGTCAGATTAAGAAAAATGAGATGGAAGAATAAACAGAAAGGGTAAAAATAACGATGATAACTGAATTTCATTTCTCTTCTGGTTCAGTTGTATGTAGTTTCTTAAGGGTCGATATCATCTGTTGACAGTAGCGTCTTGTATATTACTATAAAGGGCTAGTAGAAAGATTAACAAAATAGATTAAGGTATTGAGATATGTAGAATGATTTAGATTAGAAGCGTAGAGGGTGCACAAATTGGTATTTTTGTTCTTAACAAACATCGACTCTTCTCTGGAAAGTTAGGTTAGGTTAGGTGAGAAGTGGCGTTCAATTCTCATCATTATTTTGTTACTGGTATATATTATTATTCTTCCATTTCTAATTGCATTTACGCAATTTTAACTAAATCTAACATTTAGACGGTGGCACTTATCCTCATCTCTTCCTTCTCATCCATCCTCATCTCCTTATTCTTCCTTCTCTGTATCCCTGTTTCTTTTACTATGTAGGTGCTATGATAATAAATATTACTTTGTAGTAGTGGCTACCTAATTTTTGGTGTATTCACCATTTTCGTAAAGTATTCTTCTTTTTACAGATCAAGTCCTTGAGTACCGGTAAAATGAACTTAAGTGAACTAACGCCGTTTCTTCCAGCCAATGCCGATTCTATGTCACGTTCGAATAGTCTCAACACGCAGTCGGCAGTTCCACTGAAGGTTTTGGCAAAATCGGTTGGCAACTCCGATCCCAGCATTGACAAGCCCGCGCCTTTTCGCAGTACCATCAGCAATCCAAATATGGCCAACAAGATGTCCAATTTCTTCTCGTCGTCTCATGCGCAAATATTACAGCAGAAACTTCACAGTCCAAAGGGCAGCAACCCCAAAATTGACANCGATGTCCGAAGGATTTTGACACAAGTTTCTTTTAACGAGAAGAACAAAAAAGACCAAGCTCACAGATCGAACGTGATGAGGATGTTTGGCAAAGATAATCATCCAAATGCGCAAATGGTAAAGATTTTTATTCAATTATAGCTGTTAATAGGTATTATTATTTTGTAATATTTCCACTATTTTAATGATAAGCATTTAAGGATGACTGTAGTCGAAGTTGACGGAGGGACATCAACAAATGCCACGTCCCACGAAGTCAGATTAAGAAAAATGAGATGGAAGAATAAACAGAAAGGGTAAAAATAACGATGATAACTGAATTTCATTTCTCTTCTGGTTCAGTTGTATGTAGTTTCTTAAGGGTCGATATCATCTGTTGACAGTAGCGTCTTGTATATTACTATAAAGGGCTAGTAGAAAGATTAACAAAATAGATTAAGGTATTGAGATATGTAGAATGATTTAGATTAGAAGCGTAGAGGGTGCACAAATTGGTATTTTTGTTCTTAACAAACATCGACTCTTCTCTGCAAAGTTAGGTTAGGTTAGGTGAGAAGTGGCGTTCAATTCTCATCATTATTTTGTTACTGGTATATATTATTATTCTTCCATTTCTAATTGCACTTACGCAATTTTAACTAAATCTAACATTTAGACGGTGGCACTTATCCTCATCTCTTCCTTCTCATCCATCCTCATCTCCTTATTCTTCCTTCTCTGTATCCCTGTTTCTTTTACTATGTAGGTGCTATGATAATAAATATTACTTTGTAGTAGTGGCTACCTAATTTTTGGTGTATTCACCATTTTCGTAAAGTATTCTTCTTTTTACAGATCAAGTCCTTGAGCACCGGTAAAATGAACTTAAGTGAACTAACGCCGTTTCTTCCAGCCAATGCCGATTCTATGTCACGTTCGAATAGTCTCAACACGCAGTCGGCAGTTCCACTGAAGGTTTTGGCAAAATCGGTTGGCAACTCCGATCCCAGCATTGACAAGCCCGCGCCTTTTCGCAGTACCATCAGCAATCCAAATATGGCCAACAAGATGTCCAATTTCTTCTCGTCGTCTCATGCGCAAATATTACAGCAGAAACTTCACAGTCCAAAGGGCAGCAATCCCAAAATTGACATTCGGATAGAAGACTGTGTCGATTACAATTCCAGTACCAGCAAGACAACCTCCGATTGTACCGAGATGGCACGAAACGTTAAAAATCTGGGCGAGAAGTCCGTCAGTTTGCCCCTTCAAGAGAAGATTCTGGGGAAGGACAACAAAACGTCACCTACGTATTCGGAGGACAGTGGAATTGGTACACCATCTTCACCTAAGGATACGGAAATCCATCCATTGAGCAACTGTGACGTTCCATTTACATACAGCGGAACCAGAACTCTTAAAAAAGTCTAAGCGTGATCTGTTAGTGTTCTAATCTTTATTAGGTCAATGCTAAGTCGTCGCCATTGTGATCCATTTAGTTTATTAGGTTCTGCTTATTCTGAGAATGAATGAAAAAGTGAATGTGTGCTAAGAAAGTTTTATGATTATGACCATTGTATCCTACTTACTGGAGATATTAGTAAATATTAAATATATTTTACCAGTTGATATTTAAAATCAATTAATTTTCTTTTGTTCCTGGTACAGGGTGTTTGGAAAGGAATAGTACATGCATATAATTGACTATGACTATTTTGGCGTTCCTCTGTATACTATCTACGATGAAACAGCAAGCCCTACACGTCCACAAAAATTGATTATTAATAAAGGTATGTTATCAATGAAATCTAAATTTTGGCCAGAGTTTGGTAACATTCCCCATTGTATATTTCTAAAATCTCAATATCAATCACCCTGTACTTCGTAGTAGAATATATGGGTATATGCATATCTATACATTTTTTAAATTAATTTTTGGTACTTATCTGCAACAAATGCCTTAAATATGTTAGGTATTAAAACGCAAAAAAAAATTATTAGCTCATATTTATATATGCCGACCTAACCACTTATTAGGTCAAATAGAAGAGTTAACGTAGATTAATTATAATAGAAAAATTAAGTAAGTAAGTACATCTATTATATAAATTTCTGATGTAAATAATGAAATTGTTTCCCTTATCAAATTTAGGATAAATCTTAAATCATGCTGTTACGTTATTATATGTATATTGTGAGTATTTTCTGTAATTAAATTGCCAATCTCTAATAAATTTGTAAATACAAAAATTCAGCCCTGGGTTCTTTCCTTCATTCACAGTTTTATAATAATTACGTATGGAGATCGTCTTAATAAAAACAACTAGTTTTAGATAGAAATAGGTTAGGTTAGGTTCATTCAGGGAATGATCGATTACCCACGCTATTCTATGCTTTCATCTTTGTTTTCACCTTTTAACGGTTAAGTGACGGTTGGAAAAGCTCCTAAAGTTTAATCGAAACAACCTTTCCAACCAAGCTAACCTTCAAGTGGCTTCAAAATATAATGAACAGAACGCTCATCAATTAGGACTATAAAAAGTGGTGGAAGTTGGCTTAAAAATGAAAATTTTTATGGTCTCATTTATTAGCATATAATGCATGGTTATTCGCCTCCTACACTCTTACCCATTCTCCTTCTGTCATACTTCACCCTTACCCTATACACTTTATCAATTCATCTATATACTAAATTTAAAAAAAGAACCATTTCTTACACCCACCCCATCTCCTCCACCCTGTAACCCCCAACTTTCCCTACATTTTTTAGGTTGTCCTAGGTCAGTCCTACCCCCACCATCCCCGTCCAAGCGACTGCTCCATCATCTAGACATTTCCAATTCTAATTTTTAGCCTCGACCTCCCCTGCCTCCACTACACCTCCACCACCACCTTCCATTTATTAGAGTTGGAGCCATTAGATTTCCCCCTATCCATTCCACCTTCATCGCCCATGTGCTACCAACAATCATCTAAATAATTACCGTTTGTACATATTTTCCAATGTCATGTCGTATTTTTCAATAGATGATGTCGCCCTTTGATGATTGCATGTAATAGGACGTCCCTATGTTCGGTTCTCTACTCGCCTATAGTGTATAAATGATTACTATAAATTAATTCAAAAGAAGGCAGGAAGTCGCCATCTACATTGTAATAAAGGCAGTTATTATTACAATTCTATATTTGCATGTCCGAAGTTACAAGATATCTTCTTGTCAAACAAACCATGAGAATTATAAGCAAGTTCTAAAATAAATTATTCTACATCTCTGTACGAGATGCTCTTCAATGTTAAACTGCTGCTGGTTTCGTTTTAATTAAGCTGTATCGACGAGAGCGGTACAACAGATGTCACCTATTTATTTATACATTTCTTAATTGCATTTTTCCTTATTATGATGCACGAGCAACAATACGTAGGTTATTTTGTAAAAGTCTGGAATATATTTCATAATCTACTTGAAAAGATCCCATACCTATGCTTCTCTGAAAACTGTCCTAAACAATACTAAAAATTTTTTGAACAAAGTGTAACACCAGTCAAAAGCTTTAAACTGCATTTAGTGGACTTATTATTACTTTATTTTATCTATGAAAGGATGAGTGAAGGTATTTGTACAAACTTTCCAATACCATGTTGTATTTTTCATAATATAATGTTGCCCTTTGAAGACTGCATGTAGCAGAACAACCCCATGTTCAGTTCTCAACTCTTCACTGGTGTATAAATAATTAATTATTGCAATTCAAAAGAGGGCATAATGTTACAAAGGCAGTTATCACCGGAATTCAAAATTTGGCTTGTCCGATATTTTGAGATTTCTTCTTGCTAAACTAGCTACGAGAAGTACACATAAGTTCTAAACCAGATCATTGTACATCTGGTACAGCGTCCTTCGATGTTTGGCATGGTAATTTCAGGATTTCTTCTTGCCAAACAAGTCATGAGAAGAAAACAGATTACTCTACATCTGCTAAAGCGTCCTTCAATGTTTGACATATGTCCAAAGTTTGGTGGTTTCTTCTTTACAAACAAATCAAAAGATGTATATACAAGCTCTAAAACGGATCATTCTACATCTGGTACAGCGCCCTTCGATGCTCGGCATGTCCAAAGTTTCAAGATTTCTTCTTTCCAAACAGACCATGAGGAATATACACAAATTCTAAAGAGATATTATTCTACATCTGGTACAGTGCCCTTCAATGTTCGGCATGTTCAATGATTCACGATTTCTTATTTGAAAACAGACCATACGCAGCATATACAAATTCTAAAGCAGACGTTATTCCACATCTGGTACCTACAGCGTTCTTCGATGTTTGATATATGCCCAAAGTTACAGGATATCTTCTTGCTATATAAACCATGAGATGTATACTTGCACAAGTTTTAACAACAGATTACTCTACATCTGGTACAGATTCTGCAGACATGCCCAAAGTTTCAAGATTTCTTCTTTCCGAATAATTACAAAATGTTCTAAAACACATCATTCTAAACCTGGTACAGCGTCCTTCAGTGTTTGGCATGTTGAAAATTTCAGGATTTCTTCTTTCCAAACCGACCATGAGGAGTATACAGAAATTCTGAAGAGTCATTATTCTACATCTGGTACAGCGTCCTTCATTGATTGGTATGTCTAAAGTTTCAGGATTTCTTTTTTACAAACAGACCATTAGGAGTATACAAAAATTCTAAAAGATATGCTATTCCTCATCTGCTACGTCGTCCTTTGATGTTCGTCAGCATGTCCAATGTTTCAGGATGTTTGTCATATGTCCAAAGTTTGAGGATTTCTTTCCTAACAGGCTATTTTCAAGATTTCTTCTTTCCGAATAATTACGAAATATTCTAAAACACATAATTCTACATCTGGTATAGCGTCCTTCAGTGTTTGGCATGTTGAAAGTTTCAGGATTTCTTCTTTCCAAACCGACCATGAGGAGTATACAGAAATTCTGAAGAGTTATTATTCTACATCTGGTACAGCGTCCTTCAGTATTTGGTATGTCCAAAGTTTCAGGATTTCTTTTTTCTTTCCTAACAGGCTATTTTCAAGATTTCTTCTTTCCGAATAATTACGAAATATTCTAAAACACATCATTCTACATCTGGTATAGCGTCCTTCAGTGTTTGGCATGTTGAAAGTTTCAGGATTTCTTCTTTCCAAACCGACCATGAGGAGTATACAGAAATTCTGAAGAGATATTATTCTACATATGGTACAGCGTCCTTCAGTATTTGGTATATCCAAAGTTTCAGGATTTCATTTTTACAAACAGACCATGAGGAGTATAAACATGTTCTAAAGGAATATGAAGATTGGAAAAACTTTGGCGGTTGTTGTAGAACTGTTTGTTCTATGTTCTAAAGGAGACCATTCTGCGTCTGGTACAGCGTCCTTCGATGTAAATCTACTATTTTATTTTGGTTAATTAAGCTGTATCCACGAAAGTACAGATGGCATCTCCATGCTTTTTCTTGTTTCAATTTATTAATAATGTGTTGATAACAACAGTACAGATGGCGACTGCATGCCTTGTTCTGTTTTAATTTGTTATTTATTATCTTTTATCTTCGAAATTTTGAAAACCGTCCATGTCGTCGTTTTCTTTACACATTGGTTAAATATTGCAGTAACTTTTGATATGAAACTATTGAAAATTCATACGTGTACATAGAAGAAACATGTGTTATAAACTAATCAATGCAATTAACCGGTATATTTATTAGTTATTCAAGCAATGTTTTTAGTCTTTCCTTCCTTCCACAAAGAGATTTTCTTTTTCGGAGCCATGTTCACCTTTCCAACATGAGGTATTTATTTTCCTTGTTAGAGAGAGAATGGCTTCATTGTTACAGAAAAATAATTAATTTGAGTAATGAGTCAAACAAGTTGAAAAGTTACTTACTGGAAACCAAACTTTGGGGGACTTTAGAAACATCAATAGATAATCCTTTCCTTTAAGATACTTACAAAAGTATTTTAAAAAAAAAAAAAGAAAATCCAATGAATTCAGATGGTGGTGGCCTTATTCTCAGTAGTACCTAACTGCAATTATAATAAAATATAAAAACTACTTTTTCTGTTAAACCTGTTAAACGATAAATAATTTATAATTTCAGATAAAGGGAAATTTGGAAATTTTATTCAGTTGTTTGTTTTTTCATCATTTACCTGCCTTTACTAAAGAATGTTTATGCTTAAACATAATTTATTTTAATAAACGTACTGAATAGGCTGTTATTAATTGCAAATATGAGAATTTTACAACGTTTTAAAAACCCTTTTCCGTTTGTTACATATTCTTTAGATATGAATAACGTATTTTCTTTATTCGAATTAACTATTCCGTTCACCATTCTTCCAGATTAAATTAAACGGTTGTAGCTCAAGGTCAAGTGTATTCTTGCACATTTATGCCAGTTTACAGTAAAAGAGTAAAAAACATCTCACATTCCATTTCTCGTTCGAGCAAACATTGTTTACACAAGCTGTTATCTCAATCGCCCATCTTTGTTTAACTTATAAGTCGATAGAATGGACGAGATACTTACATTATAGCAGATTATATTTATTACGCTATTGTAAATAAATTTATAAATATTACAATTAATAATTAGCACGTTATTAA